ACACACACACACACACACACACACACACACATACATACATATATACATACATACATACATACATACATACATACATACATACTGGAATATGTGCTTCAAAAAAAAAAAGGTGAAAATTCTTGCCATATAGTCACAGAGAAGATATTTACTTAAAAAGCAGAAAGAACTCACTGATTGCCTCATCAGAAAAGTTAGATATGAAGAAGGGGGAAATTAGGGGAACTACCAAGAGGTGTATAATTTTAACACAGACAGTCTGGCTGACTGACTGACACTAGTCCTGCTAGGGCTTGTGTTAATTCTTGGGTTGATCAGGAATTTGCTGACATGGAAGCTGAATTGCTTGGAAGACATGAGAATGATTTAGAGCAGTTAACAGAAACAAACAAAAAATACAAACTTTATTTATATCTCTAGAGTCCCAGTGTGCTTTTTCCTACTGCTGAAAATGAGCAAATATGCAGGAACATACATATATACACATACACATATACATAGATATATAGATATACCTTTAAATGCATTGGCATTTAATGCATCTCCAGTGGATTTATTATCCTTGTTATAATTATCCTTTTAAATGTGCTTCTCTCTCTCTCTCTCTCTCTCTCTCTCTCTCTCTCTCTCTCTCTCTGTCACTCTGTCTCTGTCTCTATTTCTCTGTCTTCATCTCTCTATATATCTGTGTGTGTGTGTGTGTGTGTGTGTGTGTGCACGTGCGGACGTGCGCTAATCACACAGGCACTTCAATGTTCCCCAGATGGTTATCTTCCCCCTCCCCCTATTTATGTCTCTTTGTCTGCCCTGCACTTTGTATTGTAGGATGGCAAATGTACCCAGAACTGCATAGACCTGGGTCGGTTTACATAACCCCAGGAAGCCTCAGCTACCACAGCTTACTCCAGAGAGTTCTAGCAACAATCTGTTTGCCAATCTTTCCCAGTTCCCCATGCGGATCTTTCTCCTTTTGTGCCAGCGATCAGGGCTAAAGCAAAAATGCCATGCTGCCTTTGCTGCCTCCTTTAAAAAAATATAGATTAACATAGATCTTTATTTAGAATAGAATAGTATTCTTTATTGGCCAGATGTGATTGGACCCATAAGAAATTAGACTTTGGTGCGAGTATATACTCTCAGTATACATAAAGGAAAAAATATATATTCACCAAGATACAACACTTAGTGATAATCATAGGTTACTAATAAGCAATCAAATTATACTAGGAAACAAATAAAAAGTATAAATTGTAAAGATACAAGCAACACAGTTATAGTCATAGGTAGGTTACAGGAAGGATGAGAAGAAGAATAGTAATACAGTCTTAGTAAATAAGTTGACAGTGTTGTGGGAATTAGTTGTTTAGCACAGTGATGGCATTCGGGAAAGAACTGTTTTTGTGTCTAGTTGTTCTTGTGTGCAGTGCCTTATAGCATCATTTTGAGGGTAGGAGTTGAAACAGCTTATTTCCAGGATGTGAGGGGTCTGTAAATATTTTCACAGCCCTCTTTTTGATTCGTGCAGTATACAGGTCCTCAACGGAAGGCAGATTGGTAGCAATTGTTTTTTCTGCTGTTCTAATTATCCATTGAAGTCTGTGTCTGTCTTGTTGGGTTGCAGAGCCAAACCAGACCATTATAGAGGTGCATATGACAGACTCAATAATACCTCTGTGAAATTGAACCAGCAGCTCTCTGGGGCAGTTTCAGCTTTCTGAGTTGGCGCAGAAAGAAAATTCTTCAATGTGCTTTTTGATGATGTTTTTGATGTTAGATGTCCATTTTAAGTCATGAGATATGATAGAATATAAACTTGAAGGTGTTTTAATTACCCAGTAGTTTTGGAGTATAACAACAGCAAACCATGCAGGTAATTTTCAGCAGTTCTAATCAGAGGTTGTTTCTGGTTAAAATAACCTAAGGCTATATCGAGGAAAATACATAAACTGGATAAGGCTGGGATGGGCATGGCCAGCTTGACATCATTCATGTAGGGAACAATCTGTGGTAGCCTGAGTGCTCTGCTAGCAAAAATGGGCTCCTGAGTTTCTCCTGCAACCTTCTGCCAGCAAAAACGGAGCTCAGGAGGGTAGCCCTTGCCGCTCCATTTTTGCTAGTAGGGGCATCATGGGCTGGTGTTCACTATTTCCAGGGCAACCCCACAAGCCAGATCTAAGCACCCCATAGGCTGGATCTGGCACATGGGCCTTGATTTTGACACCCCTGCTTTAAAATGTCTTATTCTATCTTCAATGGTTATTCATATAATGTCAGCCTGAGTTCATAGGGCTTTACATAGTAATGAAAGGGATGGATATAATGATGATGATATAATAAAAAGACCAATTATATTTTAAGAATAAGATTTATTTTAAAAAAGGAGACATGCATGAAAAGTGATTCTTGAATTTAAATTGACATTCTGCTATATAGTACCCTCTATAAGGGCTCAAGGATCCCTTTTATAGTTCCTCACCTGGTAAAACAGAATACATTTGTTATCCTATCAGCATGATTCCATCTCCATGAACAGCTAAATTTTGTTCTACTGCATTTAAAATTAGGCAGAATTTTATTAGTCACCACCATTGGTAGGCTGCTGCAAGTTCAGACTGGTTCTAGCAAACTGATAGTTCTGTCCATCAGCTGTCCCCCACCCATCCTGTCCTATATTTCCTTCTTTCTGGCTCAGCTGAGTCACGCGGCACAGCTGATTTCCACACTTCAGCTGTTCTACTTACTGGGGCTGCCCTAGAAGGAAAGCAGCTAAACTTCAAATTACTATATTGGTCACTTGTCACCACCAATTGTAATACACACATGCTTACATGCATACCACACAAAAACACACAATTTTTTCCTAATTGCTTTTTCTTAACTGCTGCTTGTTGTTTAATTCAGGTCTCAACAGAATAATGTAGCATTTGGGGAAAAAGATACAAGACAGCAATCCACCACTGGATGCTAGGATGGAGAAGATCTCCACAGCTACCATATACTTCCCCTTTGTGCTCAGATAGGTAGGGACAAAAGTCAACCAAACACTACAAAACATCAGCATGCTGAAGGTGATAAACTTAGTTTCATTGAAAGCATCTGGCAACTTTCTGGCAAAAAAAGCCACCATAAAACTAATGATGGCTAGAAATCCTAAGTAGCCCAGGACAAGATAGAACATGACAGAAGATCCCACATTACATTCTGCTATGATTTCACTAGTGAGAGAATGCATATCCAAATTTGGGAAGGGAGGAGAGGTTGCCATCCACCAAGAACAAATACTTGCTTGAACAAGGGTGCAGGAAATAACAATGAAACTGGCCAATTTTCTCCCCAACCATTTCCTCATGTTGGACCCTGGTTTCGTGGCCATGAAAGCTACAACTACAGTGATGGTTTTAGCTAATACACAGGAAACAGCCAAGGCAAAAACAATGCCAAAAGCAGTTTGGCAAAGAAAGCAAGTGGTCTTGTTAGGCTGTCCAAAAAACAGTAAAGATGAAAGAAAGCAAAGGAGAAGGGACAGAAGGAGTGTAAATGTCAATTCCCGGTTGTTGGCTTTGACGATTGGAGTATCTTGGTGCTTAACAAATGTTTTAAGGACAAAGGCTGTAGTTATAAATAGGCTAATTCCAACCAAGGCTAAACTCATCCCTAATGGCTCTTTATGAGACAGAAAGTTTAAAGTCTTGAAAACACATCGATCTTGCTTCTTGCTTGCATATTGATCTTCTGGACATGGGGAACAATCAACCATATCTGGACATTGAAAAAAAGAAATTAAAACGTTGACCATGTGTGGCCCAAGATACATTTCCATATTCTATTCAACCTAATCCCTCCCTTTTGAACATTGTTGTGTCATCCTATGTCTTAATGTTGTATTTAGCAAGTATAGGATTAACTCTTATTTGGAGCCTTTAGAGTTTATAGACTATATTCTTCCTTTGAAAAGAAGATTTTGAGGGGGCTTTCTTGCTTTCTGAGCTAGGTTGTTTTTTTTTAGACATTTCATTACCCAAACTGGAATGTTACCAACTGAAAATAAGATTTGTCCAAAGAAGTGAAAATGGCTATGGGGTGAGTGTATGTTTTGCAGGGGTGGGATTCTTCCAGTTAGGACTGGTTTGGGCAAACCAGTCCCAATTCTGAAGATCAGCTGTTTGCTGCAACAGGCATGTGAGCCCACCCACCTGCCCCTGCTCTTTCCTGTGCTTTATTTCCTTTTCTTAGACCACAGCTGATTTATGTGGCACAGTGGCTTAGCTGTTTTATTCACAGGGGCTGCAATAGAAGGTAAGAATGAGAGCTTTTTTAAATGTAGAACATGCGCATAATCACTGAACAGGTTGTTATACTGATGGAATCCCACCTTTGATGCTTTGGTCCACTTTTTCCCTTGGAAATGAGTGTTGGTCAGGTCAGAAGAAATATAAAAGGAAGCAGCATTTGGTGGGAATGAGTTAGTTACAATAAGAAGGATGCGTGGTGATCATCAAAGGAAATATTGAATTAATCTGGACTGGATACAAAATGAGTGGGCCATAGCTAAGAAGTACTTTGGCATGATTTGATTATAGAGAGAGCTTCAAATCACAGAATCAATACAGGAAGGAAGTGTAGAGAAAGGGAAGACTAGTGGGATTGCTGGCATGATCTTCTCAAGAAGATAAGATAGTGAATGAATAGTGTATGGATCTGGTGGATGCAAAGATGCTTTGCCAATATAATGCATGGAGGTTTCATAAATGGTATCAATATAAAGGTGATTTAGTTAGATCTCTTTTCCTATTCTAGCTTTAAGTTTGCTTGTGACTTATTCTTTTTTTGTTTCTTTTAATAAAGGTTTTGAACTCAAGGGAGAGTAGCATGATGGAAATATATTTACTGTAGGCAACTGACATTAGTTTGGAAGAATCTCATAAGATCTTATTAGTAATAAGATTGCTTATCATTAAGTCACATACATATGAATAAATATACAATATTAATACATAATACACAAAAAGCAGTTAAATTTCTATGGAGATTCTCAGCCTTTCAGGTTATCATTGTCCCAAAGGTGCTTTTTTCAAAGGCAACTGGACTTACTTGTTTTTCTTTTAAGATGTTTCACTGAACTGAAGAAGCTTCTTGGATAAGAAGCAACACGTCTTCAAAGATAAATAAGAAAGTTCAGTTGCCTCTTGAAAAAGCACTTCTGAGACAATAAAGTGGATACTGAGCCTGCCAGCTGGAGAGTTGATAACATGGGTTAGAGACCCAATGCTACATGACAGAATGAACTCTCATTCCTTGCCCCAGTTCCTGTCCACTGAGTAGTTAGAAAACATGCAAATGTGAGTAGATACTTTGGTGGAAAGGTAACAGCATTCCATGTGCTTTAGCTGGCCACATGACCACAGAAGCATCTTCAGAAAACACTGGCTCCCTTGGCTAAGAAACGGAGATGAGCACCTTGTCCAAGAGCCAGACATGAAAGGACAGGTAAACTTTTATCTTTCATGCACAGATATTGTTTTTTTCTTTTATCTTTCTGTTGATTATTTATTGATCCCATTGAAAAATATTGTATTAGAAATGAGTTTCTTCTTTCCCAGACACATGGAAATGTATTCAAATTTTCCTGGCCAGCTAAATATCTGCATATGTTCCCTTGCATTAATGCATGCTGGAATATTTCTTGTACTATATTACCTACCTATTTGGTATGAAATCTCCCCTTCTGGGCAGGGAGCACAATCATAGCAACAGAATTTCTCCCCTTCTTTCTTTTTCTTTTGGTATCCAGGCTGGCAAGGAGTACTACACAGAGAAAAGGGCAGAACCTATCCATAAATGTGAAAATAATTTAAGAGGGAAAAACTGGCTTTCTCCATCATATAATCTATTTTAAAAAAAGAAAGTCTGTATTGATTCATATGGATAAATAACATGAATAAATTGCAAGAATTTCTGAGACTGGTAGGGGAGAATTTGAGAGATCAAGGACTTGCTTCCCAAATAATAAAATTCAGAGATAGAGATATAGTAGCCCTCAGCTCCAACTTGATTCATAAATACAATTCCTAGGACTCTATCACAGTTTATCTAGGTAATAAATATATATCAAATAAGTGTTTTGAAAATCTTAACATGGTTGAGAATAGATTCAAAGTATCATAAAATCACAGAACTATAGGAACATTTGTCTAATCTTCTGCAAGGTGTAGGAAACCCGACTAAACCATCCATGAGAACAGGCAGTTCAGCCTTTTTTTAATGGCCTCCAGAGATGGAAAACCCATCTTTATATCTAGGATGTTCCACTGTTGGACCAATTTTACTATCAAGAAGCTTTCTATGTATTTAAACAAAAACTACATAATACAATTTATTGCCATTTCTTTACCATTTTTACTGTAGCTAAGGGATGTCAAACTCAAGGATCATGGGGCTGGGCCAGAAACAGGGAAGGACCATCTCGTGGTGCATCTGCCAGCAAAAACAGAGCTAGGGAGGGCCGTCTGGGCCCTGTTTTGGGCCATGACAGCCTTTTGCAGCTCTCTGCCAGCAAAAAAAAAATGCTCAGGAAGGCCCTCCTGGGCTCTGTTTTCAGTTATGATGGCCTCCTGCAGCCTTCTGCCAGCAAAACAAAGCTCAGGAAGGCCCTCCCTGGCTCTGTTTTCAGTTATGATGGCCTACTACAGCCTTCTCCCAGTGAAAACAGAGTTCGGGGATGCTGCATGAGCTGACTATGTCCCACTGGCTATGCCCCCCAGTCCTCCAGGTCAAACACAACCCTGATGCAGCCCTCAATGAAATTGAGTTTGATACCCCTACTGTAGCTTCCTTTTATGTATTGTACATAGTTATCACCTCGCTCTTAAGTTTCCTCTTCTTCAAAGAGAAAATCCCAAGTTCCTTCATCCTGTCCTCATATGGCATTTCCTCAAATCTTTCTGTCATTTTTATTGCTCCCGTCTCTAATTTTTCAATATTCCTCTGGATGGCAGCATTCCAGCAATCCTCCATCCCAATCAAAAACTCTGAGACAGACATATCTCAAAGGTTCCTTTATTTGGATAGTAACTGGTACATCTATGGAATCCAGAATCTGAAAGTTTCTGGCTTCCTTGCAAAAATCAAAACTACAAATCCATCCCCCCTTAGCCATCGCCACATCACATAGTCCAAACACTATCCATCATAAAGGAAGATTTCATTATGAGCCACACTCAGTGACCTTGAACCAACAAAATAATTTTATTTTGTCTAACTAGATATACTCAAATTATTTCCTCCCTCCCACTTTCTCAGGCTCAATTGTGGCAGCATGGGAGCATTGAATCTTAATATATGTTCCAAAGCTGACACTGGAAAGGTGGTGCCCAAAATAATACACAATATTCATGTGTTTTTGATGCAACACATTTTTAATGCAGAACTGTGTTAGTGATTTTGACTGTTGTCTCCTAGCTTACATCTTTAAATGTTGAGAGTATGGCACATGAGGACAGTTAGTTCCACCATTGTGCTAAAACTTGATGTTATTCAAAATAGTTTTCTGAATAAATGAATTCTCTGAAATTATCCATCAAATTAAGCCATTAGTGGTGGTTTTAATAAACCATGTTTAGTAAAAAGACAACAGGAGTCTCATAGCACCTTTTTACCTCACAGTTTTTATTAAAAACCACACACTCAATTTCTCAGTAGCACAGACTACCTAAATTGATCTAGGATTTAAATTGGAGTGAAGCAGAGAGAAGGGAGGACTCAATTTAAAATCCCTTGTGTTTGTTGAATTCTTGTTTCATTTGTCTAATCTTAGACTAACTTGACTCTACAATGATTGGATATGGTATGCTAAGCAGAAGCCATGGTGGTGCCGTAGTTAGAATGCAGTACTGCAGGCTGTGAGGAGATTGATCCTGACAGGCTCAAGGTTGACTAGGCCTTTCATCCTTTTGAGGTTGGTAGAATGAGGACACAAATTGTTGGCGGCAATATGTAAACTGCTTATGTTAGTGTTCCAAGTAATGTATCCATAGAAATCAGAACTCCAAGGCAGGTAAATTCCTCAAAGAACAGTTTTATTGGATACATCACATTGGCACAACTAGTGAAAGCCAACTCTAAAAGTTCTGGTGGCTTTCACCTAATTAAAAGTAAAAGTTTCCTCTCCCCCCAGGTTACTGATCACACTGTCCAATCCAGTTGCTGGCCAGTTGCTTGGTTACTTCCCCCTCCTCTGACCAACTATCTGTGAGAATGTCCTTGGTTCCCATGGGAAAATTTTTATTGCTTTGGCTACAAAACCCCATCTAACTATTTTCCCATTTCCTCTGTTGTGTGGCAACCCTGAAGCCTCCAAGATGGCCCAAGCCACATTCACCTCAGGGTTGACAACTTAGAGAATTCTGTGATGTATTATAAAGAGCTGTATAAGTGCTAAGTGCTATTGCTACTGCTATTGCTCTTCATTTCAAAATATAGCTACCCATACAGGGCCAATTTCTAAGCCAGAAGAAATGTCTAATCCATCAAATATTTTTTTCAGATAATGGAGTAGAGGATTTAAATTGAGAAAGTTCACCTGGTTGAAAAGCCTGTGCAAGCTTTTTCTATCTTGGTAAAAGCTGAAGGTCTGCCCCTCCTTGGTAGCTATCCTTCCAAATTTCACTTTTGTGAAGGAGTTGTTTGGGAATATGACCATCTTCATTATATCAAAACCAGTGGCAACCTCCATTTTATCATTAAAAGCCACTCTTTCTCCAGCTGAATTGTTGAAGGAAATGCCTTTAAGAAACCAGTGAAGCTGTGAGAAAAAGAAAGAACAGCTAAAACATCATATATAACACAGTGAGATAATTGACACAAGCTACAGTTCACCTAGTTGATTAACTTGTGGGAAGCCACCACCCTCTCCTAGAATGAAATATTTTGAGGAATATTAAAAAGAAGGCAGGATAAAATATTTCCCCTGAAAGAGAAATATATTTTTAAGGGACACAGAAACTCAAAGTCCCTGCTTCTTGTCCCCAAGCAGATACTGAGCAGGGGGAGCTTTTAGAAATTCAGATTGGGTAATCCATTATTCCCTCCACCAAAGTCTGAACAAAGGCAGAGTGATAGGATTAGCCCCCACTCAATATCCAAACCAGGACAAAGCCATTAAGCCATAACAGAATTGCCCAACACACTTTTAGAACAGAGGCTTACTCACTGCATCGTCTCAGCAGTCCAAACTTCAACCAAACCTGGGAACTCAGACAACCTATAGAACCAGCTATGACCCCTATATAAGCCTTACAAAAATCAATAGAATACATGTTCTTGCACAGGAACAGGAAGCTCAAGTGCAAGGTTCAGAGAACACTCCCACATTCTCAGCTCCATGTGGTCAGCTGCACCAGAACTCATATGGTTCTGCTTCATCATCTTCTTTTCAATCAGCTTCCAACATTTTCTCTCCAGTGCTTTTTTCCTAGCTTGGAGTTGAACCATATTGATAATTCTTCCAACGAACTGCTACATACTTTTATCTTAACCCTCACCAATCTAAGATGAAATGCACATAGCATTTCAATCACAGATTTTACAAAATGTTTCAGTCTCTAAAGCAAAACTAGTTGAGAAGTCATGTATCTCTTCATAGCAGGAAAGTCTAGATATTGTTCTCTCCTTGGCTTGCTGGCTTGTCTTATTTATTTACTTAAGAAAATTTGTTATGGCTGCCAAAATCCAATACATGATTAACACGGCTAAAACCATAAAGCAAAATAAAGCCTAGACTTAAAACAACCACATTAATAAAAACACAACAGAGGCCCCATAAACACAGGGCTGAGAGTAGAGTCAGGTTTTAAAGATTTTAAAGATTTACTGGAACCTCAACAACATTGAACACAGAATAATAGAATTGGAAGGGACCTCGGAGATTTTCTAATCCAACTTCCTGCTCAAGCAGGAGACCTAATATCATTTCACACAAATGGTTGTCTAGCCTATTTTTGAAAGTTTCCAAAGATGGAGCACTCACAACTTCTGAAAGCAAGTTGTTACACTGGTTAATTGTTCTCACTATTGGTAAATTACTCCTTAATTCTGGGAAGAAGAATGTAATTCAGTGACTAGGACTGAACCAAATAAAAATTATTTTGGAAATAGTTACTCCAATTATAATACCTTAAAGGTATAAAGGAGAGAACATGAGAGAGAGTTTAGCTTATTTTTTTACTCATTCTCCCTTTAATGCATCCTTAGAAATTGAAAGAATACGTTGGTTCCAGAGGGTGGAGACAGTGACAATGTAGACATGCTAACAAAGATGGTCTCTTCTATGATTTGCTCCATCTCCTCTTCTGCCTTTTGTTTTTGTTGTTCGTATTCTGCTGTCGCATTTTCAATAAATTTTAAAGCAAAACCCAGCGATTCACCTCATTCGTGTAGTGTTTCTTTCATTTTTTTGAGTTCCATTTTTAATGCCAGAAGAGAAATCACCATTTTACAACTTTCTAATTCGCAATTTAATCCAAATAGTATCTTTAAAGTTTATTTCCAACAGCCAACTTTTCTTCCTCTCAAGTTTTTAAGTCTCCACTAATCCAGTGCCAAATTCATGTCAGAATCAGCAACTAATCCAAAGGCAGAATCTTCCTAATTCTTTCTTTGTTACAATGTTTCAATTTTTCAAAGTTCCTGCTTTATTGTATCAATTTCCATGCAACTTCAAGAATCAAGAGTTTTTTAAAAGAAAAACAAGTTGAGTTTAACTGAGATGGCACTCTTTATTATGCTAACTCTTCACCCCCTTTTCTTTTTTCTTCTCTGCTATTCAGAGCTTTTTAATCCACAATTTTCCAACAAGAAAAAAATCAAATCCAGTTGATATTAAATTTCCTCTTTAACAGTCTATAGTTCAGCTTTATTAGTGCCAATGTAAAATCAAAGTATACTTATCCAAGTTGGTTATATAGTTCCTTCTCCAGCTTCTACCTGTTGTGGTTTCAAAGACCCGACGCTATCAAAAGCAATTCACACCTTTTTTTTCTTTTTCTCTTCGCCGCTTAGATCCTTTCTTAAAGATTCTTTGAAATGTGGGTATCTTCCATTTGATTATATCGTCCCATTCCTCCTGCTTTTCGCTTCTCTCTTTCTCCTGCACAATCTCATTCCAGTCTCATCTTCCCCTTCAGGGTGGCAATTTTAGACCACCGCTTCAGGTGTCTTTGGGAGGGAACTATTGCCAAACCGAGGAGGGGATTTGTGACTCCTCTCTACCCAGCTGATGGTCTCCCCTTCCTCTCCTACCTCTATGGTAGGATTGTGTCTCTCCAATGCTGAAGCACGAACCAAAACCATGCACAATTGCGGTCAGTGGTCTGTCTTTGGGGAAGCTCAAAACAGGAAGTCCTGTCTCAGCTAATCTTGAATGGCACCTCTTCTGAGTGTTATTGAACAAGGACAAAAATACATAAAATGCAAGTAGCACTAGCACTTAGACTTATATACATCTTTACAGTGCTTCACAGCCCTCTCTAAGCAGTTTACAGAGTCAGCATAACATTTTTCCCAACAATTTGCATCCTCATTTTATCTGCCTTGGAAGGATGGAAGGCTGAGTCAACCTTGAGCCTGGTGAGATTCGATCTGCCAAATTGCAGGCAGCTGCCAGTCAACAGAAGTAGTCTGCAGTACTGCACTCTAACCACTGCACCACCATGGCTCAAGCACAGAAATAACCAAAGAATTGGCATACATTCACCGAGAACAAAAATTATGATTCCATTGCAACTTATCTGAAGGCTATTTCACTTACCAAAAATAATAATAAAGTTATTTTGTTTTTGAGAAATTACCTAGCCCCATCCCATTTGTATCAGAAGCATCTAAGAAGCTTCCAGGTTGAAAGAATTAGCTGGTGACATTACTGTTGCCCTGGAGATGTCTCCTTTCATGTTAATCTGTCTACTGAAGTGGTAACTATTTATCTACTAGTGATTACTCGCTTTCAAATGGCTAGGTTAGCAGGAGTTGGAGTGAATGATGAGACTTCATCCCACCACAAAGGAACATTCTGGTCTTGAACGTGAGCTTGCAAATCATGAACCCAGTATCCTAACCACAGGAGCCACCATGATCCTTATTACCTGCCAAGGTTGAAGTTCTTGACCTACAAGTCTGTTTCTTTTCACTAACATTTGGTGGAGGGACCTAAACGAAGACATGGTATGTAAAGCATGTGCCAAAAGATAGACAGCATTAAAGATACTGTAGCTGTAACCAGTCATCTGCATTTCAAAAACAGCATCTGGAAGCACCTCCAACTTCTCTACCCCAGTGCATATTTTATTGTGCTCCACTGATTCTTTGGAATTTGAAAGCGTACAGTGAAAGGCTTGCTCCCAAAAATCCTTTAGGAAATTGTCCCCTTGTTCTGAGCAGCATTTTAGGCTTTGAAGGTAGGTCTGAAACCCGAGTGGTTCATTTGAAGGAACCTCAAACGATATGGTGCCTTGGAATAATTCTGAATCCCAGCTGGTTACAACGCCCATGATGGTGAAATCAATCTGTGCAGTCACAATCCACAACTTTCCCGTTGGTGCATTTTCCTGATGAAAAGAATCAGACTGAAACATTAAAGAACTCAGCCACATAACTGTAAGAATTTCTCCATACACAATAAATATGTTGGCTCTGTTGTCCATGACATATTGATAAGTACTTGAGGATACTTCGTTGATTTGGGTTAATGATGGCAAACGACCTTGGCTTGGGATTCTTTGTATGAAGGCTGAGCAGATTCCATTCTGGAAAAGCAAAGGTTCCAAGATCTTCAAGAAATGATCTCCGCTCTCGTCTCTCAAAACAATGAGTCCAATCCAGGTCCATCCAAAATGCTTCAGTAATTTGACAATTCCTGCATACTGAAGGGCTTCATTTGAAACCATGCGATAAAAGGAAGGATATCGTGCAGGGTTGTTTTGTTCAGAGGCGAAAGAACCATATGTGAGCTAAAAAAAACCACACATATATTTACTGTAAGAAACATCTTTCAGTCTTTGTGACTGCCTTTTTAGAGAATGGAATCTCAGATCATGATTTGAATGTCTTTTCTTCATTCTAAGTAAACAATGCTGGTCAATGGGAAAATGAAATAATTTCTACAAAAAGAATAACAAGAGATGAATCTGTTCGAACCCATTACTCTGCCTTATTTTTGCTGTTCTTTAATTGTCAAGATCCTTTAAACCACAATAATTTGGCTTCATTTTGAATAGTCAAGCAATTGTTGCCAGTCAAATCTTTCTTCCTTTTTTTCTAAGGTATAATGTTGTTCCAAAAATCATTTATCTACCTCCTCTTAATTCATAATCAAATCCCACCTTAATTTATAATCAAAGAAATTATGAATTGTAGTGGCATGAGAGTCAGTTAAGGCATAGGATTGCAAATCAGGAGATTATGAGTTCTAGTTCTTTATTTGGCATAAAGCTAGCCTGAATCAGACAAAATATAGACTAGAAGGGACAAAAATACATTTGAAGTACTTACCTGTGGAATTTTATAAAGGGTCAAGATGTCAGACATGTGGAAGGATATATCAGAGCCAAGTCCACCAATGATGGCCATGAGATTTTTGTGGATTTTGCATGCATAATTGGGGACAAATCTATCAAATTTGAAGAGCAGGTCCAGGGTGGTCTGATAAGTCATCTTCTCATTGTAATAACTATCATAGATGTGGAAACCAAGTGTGACATTGGGCAAGATCTGGGAATTTTGGTTGATCTCATTTACTGCAAATACCAAGCCCAAGACATGTTGATAAAACTTTGTCACTATGCTGAAAGACAGTTATGTTCAGATTCTACAACATATATAACTGTTTTATTTTGTTTTTTATCAGTCTCTGGGTCCATTTTACTTGCTACAAACAATCTAAAATTTGAAAAAAAAAATCAATAGAAACAAAATGAAGTGTTGTTTATGTTGTTATGGAGATAAGGTGCAAAAATAGCCAGAAAGAGAGGATGAATATCCCAAAAGATGTATAAGACAGGGAAGAATAGAAAGATGTTAGATGAATGAATGAAAGGTTGTATAATTTTGAAATCAATGTGGAGAATATAAATAGTAGATATTGTCGTATATCTCATACGAACAAAGGACTTGGTTCAGCTCATTTATTAGGGTAAAACACAAGTGGGGAAAGTGGGGAAGAAGCGCGGCTTAAAAGCACTTTCTGCCGAGTGCTGCAGCCAATCGGGTCGTTTTGAATCGCCCACGATCGGCTCAGCCAATCGCGGTCGATTCCAAACGACCAATCAGTGCCGCGCACTCAGCCAATCCGGTGGCCGTGCGTTTTAGCCAATCCGGGCTGCCGGATTTCGAGTATGCAAATGTCTGTACAGAACACCCCTCCCCTCTTGGTTTGGTCCTACGTGACGTAGTCCCGTAAGTAGGCGGGGCTCCGTATTTTCCGACTGGACTTGCGCTGGTCAGTTGTCTCCTGGCTGTCGGCCGGTTCGGGTGGGACTCCTGTCGCTCTCTGCCTCGTTGATGGAACCGCCTGGAAGGGTGAGTCAGGCCTCTCGCCACGGCTCCCTCCTGGTCTCCCCGGGTTGGTCGAGCTGCTGGCTTCGCCGCTCCCGCTCGGCTTTTGCGGGCTGGTTGAGCTGGCTTGGCTGCTCCCGCTAGGGCTTCCGGGGCCGGTTGAGCTGGCTCGGCTGCTCCTTCCAGGTGAGGCTTCGAGTGGGTCGCTCTCCGGTTCTTCAGGTGGTGAGTACTGCTGGTTTCTTTTTGGGTGGGTTTGTTCTTTTTGTTCTTTGGGGCCTTCCCTCCCCTCTTGGTTGGTGTTTTGCCGGTTCCTTTCAGTGTCTGGTGTTTGCGTGTCGGTTGTATTTCCCGCGATGGTTCTTGATCTCAATTGGTCGATGTGGCGTTTCCACGCTCGTCCGTCGGTAGTTTGAAGGCGGTACGAGTGTGGGCCTGTTGCTTGGGTGATCGTTGCCGGTATCCAGAGGGGGTCCCCGGTAAGGTTTTTTGCGTAGACCCTGTCTCCCGGTGCGAATGTTCTGCATTTGCTGGTGGAGTCAGGGGGTCTTTCCGGGTTGTATGTGGGGTGCAAGCGGTCGAGCGGTGATCGCAATTTCCTCCCCATTAGTAGCTCCGCTGGGCTCTTGTTCGTCGTAGTGCTCAGGGTTATGTGCTGAATTAGTAGCATCCGGTTTATTTTGTCTTGTATGTCCCCGGTTTCGATTTTTTGGATGGTCTTTTTTGTGAATTGGACCATTTTCTCCACCCTTCCGTTCGCCGCCGGGTGCGCCGGTGCCGTTAATGCGTGTCGGATCCCTCGTTCTGCCAAGAATTTCTCGAAGGGTAGTGCGGTGAACTGGGGGCCGTTGTCTGACACGATGACATCGGGAAGGCCGTGGGTTGCGAAGAGCTTGCTGAGTTCTCTGATGACGGCGTCTGTGGTAGTTGTCTTCATGTTGCTTACCTCCAGCCAGTTGGAGTAAGCGTCTACGGTTACCAGGAAGGTGTGTCCTCTGGTTGGTCCCGCGAAATCTACGTGGATCCGGGACCATGGCCCCCGAGGGGTTTCCCATTCCAGGAACGGGGCAGCGGGGGGGGTTTGGTCTTGATTCCTGGCACTGTTTGCAGGAGGCCACCCAGGCTTCGATCTCCTTGTCCATCCCTGGCCACCAGGCGTGACTTCTGGCCAGGGCTTTTGTCCTAACGATGCCGGGGTGCCCTTCGTGCAGCATGCTCAGGACTTCTTTTTGCAATTTTTCTGGGACTATGACTCTGTCCCCCCACAGTAGACAGCCTTTCTGCGTTGATAGCTCAGTTTGTCGGTTCCGGTAAGCTTTGAACTCGTTGTCCACGTCCTTCTCCGGCCACCCTTTTCCCACCCATCTTAGGACCTGCGCCAGGCGTTTGTCTTTATTGGTTGCTAGGGCAATGTCTGACGCGGTCACGGGTAGGTTGGGTAAGGTCTCGATGCTCAGGGTGGATGTGGTGGGTGCTGGGTCAGCGTCCAGGGTGGGCAATGGTGTGCGGCTGAGGGCATCCGCGTGCGGGATTGACTTACCGGGGCGGTGGATTAGCTGGTAATTGTAGGCGGCGAGAAATTCGGACCACCTTGTCATCCTTGGGGAGAGTATGATTGGGGTGGCCCGGTCTCCTGCCAGTATTCCCAGCAGCGGTTTGTGGTCCGTGATTATGGAGAAGGTCCTGCCGTAAAGGTATTCGTGGAATTTCTTTACGGCTGCGACGATTGCTAGAGCCTCTTTGTCCAATTGGCTGTAGTTTCTTTCGGGTTTTGAAAGGGTCCTTGAGAAAAAGGCGATGGGTGCTTCTTTCCGGTCGGCGAGGGTGTGGCTGAGGACGGCCCCTACGCCGAAGGGTGATGTGTCGCACGTTACCGTGATGGGGAGTGTCTCGCTGTACTGGATGAGGACAGCGTCTGATGTGAGAAGGTCCTTGGTTTTGTTGAAAGCGTCCTCTTCTCGTCTCCCCCACGTCCAGATGGCTGCCTTGTCGAGCAGCCTATGCAACGGTTCCGCCACGGTCACCTTTTGGGGCAGGAAAACATTGTAGAAATTAATCAACCCCAGGAATGCTTGTAACTCAGTTTTGTTTCTGGGTTTCGGGGCTTCTTTGATGGCTTTTATTTTGCCCTCGGTGGGGTGGATTCCGTGCTGGTCTAGTAGGTACCCCAGGAATTCGACCCGTGCCGTGCGCAGTTGGCATTTCTCCCTCTTAACTTTTAGTCCTGCACTTTGGAATCTTTGCAGTACTTCCCTTAGGTGGCCCTCCAATTGTTTCTGGTCGGCCGCGGCTACCAGCACGTCATCAAAATAGGGTACTACCCCTTTTATGCCCCGGAGGAGCCTCTCCATTAGGTTTTGAAATACCCCCGGGGCTACACTGACTCCGAATTGGAGCCTCTTGCAGCGGAATGCCCCTCGGTGTGTGACTATAGTCTGCGCTTCTGCGGTTTCCTCGTCGACCGGCAGTTGCTGATAGGCTTGGGCCAGGTCGAGTTTGGCGAAAACCCTGCCCCCTCCCCAGTGAGTGTAGAAGGTGTTGCACTACTGGGACGGGGTAGGCGCTTTGTTGTAGCGCACGGTTCAGGGTGGCCTTATAGTCCCCGCAGATTCTCACTGACCCATCTGGCTTTATCGGGGTGACTATAGGGGTCTCCCATCGGGCATGGTCCGTTGGCTCGAGGACTCCCTGCTCGATGAGCTTATTTAGTTGCTCATCGATTTTGGGGCGGAGGGCAAAAGGCACTCGCCGGGGTTTGAGGCAGATAGGGGCAATGGTGGGGTCAAGGCTGAACAATATTGGGGGCCCCCGGTACTTGCCTAGGTTTCCGTCGAAGACCTCTTGGAACTCGTGCACGAGCTGCTCCTCCCAGTCCGCCTCAGCGACGTGGTTGGTGCCGGTCACTTCTAGTCCCAACGGCGCGAACCATTGAAGTCCCAGGAGGCTGGGGCGGTCTCATTCGACGATGGTTAGGGGTAGTATTTCGGTGCGCCCTTTAAATGTGACCTTGAAGTGCCCGGTCCCTACCACGGGGATGCGATTCCCTGGTAGTCTTTGAGGATGAGCTTCTGGCTCTCCAGCTCGTGCCGTTTCATGGAGGGTACTAGCCGCTTAATTTCCCGCCACGCGACCATGGATAGGTAAGATCCGGAGTCGACTTCCATTTTGCAGGGGCAGTCTTCGATGGCGACCTCCACGTGGACCTTCCGGCCATCCCAGTTGGAGGAATGGCCAACGATGACCGTCTGGTGCGTTTCCTCGCGCTGGCGGTTTTCGTTGAAACGGCGGCTCCTCGCTTCCCGGCTCCAACGGCTCTCGCTATCCCGGTCGCGGTTCCTTGGGGGGGGTGTTGTCGCGTCTGGTATTGTCGCGCCTCCGTGGGCTGCCGTCTCGG